TCGCCTGCCAATGATGTCATAACCCCTCGATTTCCGGTTTTGTTTTGTAGAAAACATGGAAACACCAAAGACGCTTTAATATGTTGTGTGTTTTAATAGACCGGTGACGACCGCACAGAGTAGCATTATAACAGAACTTTCAAATGTATCTAGTATGATAAAACAGCGCTGCTTTACCCCACATACGCACGACCGGAAGCAGCGGAAGCGGTCGACTGTGGCATAATAAAAGCTCCGCTGCTTTCCAGCCGTGTGTCGCGCTCGTTCAGCGCCTCGTTTCGCTTCGACGGCTTTCAGCCTCACCCTGCTTCATTCTACTACGTTAATAAATCATTAGCTCATCCATGAACATGATTTCTGCCCAAGTCCCGTCGGATTGCATCAGCTGTGTGGATGAAGGCTACAACTCCCATGATTCCACACTCAGTCACAGCTAAGCCTTTGTCTATTTGTTTATTTTGAATACGTGCCCTCTAGTGGCGAAAATTACATATTATGCCTTTAATTCCTGAAACTCATCATGATTCAGTTCAGATGTCTTTAGCAAGTTACAATAATGTCATTTTTACTGTGAAATATGGGGTCATATGTTTACTGAAATTGATTAAATTATAAAATTGTATCATTTTATTAAATTAAAATAAAAGATAGTATAATAAATAATAAAACAAAAACACTCAAAATAAAACTTTCTAAAAATTAATGATACAAATGTAAACATTTAAATGAATAATACACTTACAAAAAAATCTAAACAATGTAAAATTAAAATGATTACATAATTTAACATAAAAATACTAAAAATAAAACCAAATATAAATTACTTTTTTTTATTTATTTTTTATTTTTTATGATTTAATTCATTTTTAGATTTTTAGTAAGGGTGTTATTTTGATTAATTTGAAAATAAAAAAAATCTAAAAGCATTTACAAAAAAAATTAATATTAATTTTAATTTTACATTTTTAATAAGTAATCAAAACATAATAAAAATAAAACACAAAAATGTAATATTAAAAATGTAAAATTAAAATTAGTAAGTAATCAAAACATAATCAAAATAAAACACTTACAAAAATGTAATATTAAAAATTAAAAATTTAAATAAATCAATAATTAAAAAACACTTACCGAAAATGAATTAAATTACAAAAATGTAACAAATAAAATAAATCATTAAAATAAATATACAAAAAAATTAATTAAACTGAATTTGATAAATGAATGATTAAATCATTATTAATTCATGAAAATTAAAATAATAAAAAAATCTAAATAAAATAAAGTCTATTACCAAATCCTAACCCTAACAGAAAACTTTATGCATTTTTACAATTAAAAAAACTACTTAATTTATTTTTATATAGTTTTTTTTTTTACAAATGAGAACATCCCTGGACGTCTGCAAAAGGAGTGCAACTTTGGCGCCAAAATGTGGTTAAGGAGGAACACATACACACAATGCTCATGCATACGTCAGAAACAACATTCAATCGGCCTTCAGTCAACGGGACACAGACGTTTACATACATATGAGACGGTATATATGTATGTTCCAGCAATGATCAGAACACAACGGTTGACAGCCATTATTCCAGAACGACGGAGAAACTCACCATCTTCAACAAGAGCAGAGCGAGAGCGGGTTAGGGGTTAGAGCGAGTGTTAACATTTCTGAGAAGCATACCAGAGAACAACAACATAATGAAGCCTGTCAGACTGAGACACAAGCATCAGCCGTGAGTGGATCAGCACCTTTCAGAGCGATGACTTTGCTGGCCGGGTTCATGATGGCGCTGTCTGCCGTGATCGGCCGGCGGATCGGCTCGCTCGGGTCGCTCAGGTCCACGATCAGCACCTGATTCTGCTCGCCCACCTTCTCTCGGATGCAGATGAAGCGGTCCGACTCCATGGTCAAGCAGCTGAAGCTGATGCTGGCTGGACTCACTCCCAGCGTCTGCAGCTAGAGGGCGACAGCAGTCAGAAAAACACTACAGAACTCCACCGGTCCGAACTAGCTGATTCAATAAAGGCAAACATTTTTATGATTTTTATATAATTATTAGTTGATATATACAAAAATCATAAAATGTCAAATGAAAGTAAATGTAAAATAAAAACACTCAAAATTTAAAAATTCCTAAAAAAAACAAATCATTAAAATTGTAACATTAAAGTGAATAATTTTAATATAAAAATAAACCAAATTAAAACACTTAAAAAATTTTATCATAATGTAAAATTGATCTAATAATAAAATAATTAATACAAATGCTGTAAAAATTCCTAAAACAAATAAATCATTAAAATTGTAACATTAAAGTGAATAATTTTAATATAAAAATAAACCAAATTAAAACACTTAAAATTTTTTATCATAATGTAAAATTGATCTAATAATAAAATAATTAATACAAATGCTCAAAATACTAAAAAAATTCAATAAATCATAAAATGCTAAATAAATTTATTTTTAATTTATATTATATTATTTAATTTTTAGTAAGCATTTCATTTTGATGAATTAAAATTTTTTTAAATTTAAACATAGAAATGCAAAATTAATAAAACATTAAAATTTAAAATATAAAATAAACAATTAAATCATAGAAATGTAATTAAATAAATTTATTTTTAATTTATATTGTATTATTTAATTTTTAGTAAGCATTTCATTTTGATGAATTAAAAAAAAATTAAATTTAAACAGAAATGCAAAATTAATAAAACATTAAAATTTAAAATATAAAATAAACAATTAAATCATAGAAATGTAATTTTAATGAATATTTTAAACAAATTACAAATAAAAATAAAACAATTAAATCATAAAATGTAAAATAAAATTAACATTAAAAAATAATTAAAATTAAACAAAAAATGTATTAAATCATAAAATGTAAAATTCAAATGAATAAAGAAAAATAAAAACTACACAATTAAATCATAAAAATCTATAATTAATGAATATTCATAACATTTAAAATCTAAATAAAACAAATAATTAAATCAAAACGTAAAATTAATCAACTGAAAAATTTAATAATCAAAATAATAAAATTTAAAATTAAAATGAATAATTATAAAACTAAATAAAAAAAATATAATCAGAATATATCATAATCAAAAATTATATCAAATATGTAAATAAAATTTTCAAAATAAAACTATTTATTTTATTTGTTTACCTGCATGTCATGTGACCTTCGACATCAGACAACCATGAAAATGTGAATGTGTCATTGTAACTGAAATATTAACTCGAAAACTCAGGGGTACTTCAAGTAAATATTTTAGGTCAAAGGGGTTCAGCTGACAAACAAAAAAAAATCAAATTTGGTCATTCCTGCAATAAAGCATCAAGCGATAAAACAACTCTGGTGTTAATCAAGAGTTTCTGTTCTAACCAACGTTGAAGTTCAAGATATTTTGACATTATCTTTGATATTTTCCTCAAAGTAAACTCTCAGCACAGCCGTATATTAAACATGAAACATGTCCTGATGCTGTTTCATGGGTGTTTGGGTCATGCAGACGGCTGAAACCTCACACTCTTCAGGGCTCAGGAGTTTCTCTCGGGGCTCTGAATGATTCACTGCTGAGAAACATGGCATCTGACGGGAACATACTGCTTACGAAAGGACCTGGAGATACTGTATAGTAGCCTACGGCCAACACACACACACACACACACAACACACACAACACACAGACACACAG